TTTTTGAAGAAGGAAAGCCCTTGAAATGCATAAACATCATCTTCCTTTGTGCATTAAAATAACAGGATCTAGACAGTGGATAAGAGATTTTTTTCTGGGAAGCAAATATCTAGCGCTAACTCAGAAAGAGGTTTTATTTGTTTGTTTTTAATAGTGAGCAGGTTGCAAGTTTCTTTAAATCAGAGTCTGAGCTCATAACTCTTAAGACTGGAAGGGACTGCTTATTCTGACTTTCTACCTTCGGCATTTCATCCAGAAGGACCAGCGGGTAAGATAAAAAGATGACATAGACAACCATCTGGATACTATCAAATAGAATCTGTTCAGCTGTATGGCTGAGCTAAATAAGAATACTCCTTAAAGTCACATTATCAAAGGCTAATTCAGATGGTACTGAATTCTCTTAATTTGTTGTGGTAAGAGGTTTAAAGTAAGCTGTATTGTTGTATTGCAAGCAAACTTTGGACCCAATTTTGCCTATGCCTAAAAATTCTTGGATGCGTCCAACTAAAATAGTGATACAAAATGTCATTTTTGTCCACTTTATTCCTCATTGACATTTGTGGACACAAAGCAGGTGTCTTAAGATCTTAATTTTTTGTATGTGAATCTTCAGTGGCAAAAGGGCAAATTGCACTTGTAAAACTCTTAACACCAGGTTTTTCTGTGGTGAAAAATGGCAAATGGGGTAGGTGTTCCTAAGTAGCATCTGAGAGGGAGTAAATAAGTAAGAGGTTAACCGGTCATCTGCTTCTTGGAAATCCGTTTTAAGAAAGTGGAATTACACTAGGACTATTCATGCATTAAATTCTGCAGATTTGCGGACCTAGGGTACTGAGGTAGGGATTACCAGTTTGTATGAGCCTATTCATTTGTGTGGATCTCATCCACTGGATGGACAAGCTATTTTTCTGAGTAGTGCTCTTGGACGCAAAGCAGTCTCCATAGCTTGACTTGGAACAGAGCAGCAGTGTCCTGATGGTCTAATTTTCTGTTCCAGATGCCTCCTTGTCTGTCCTGCTGATGAGTTCAGAGGAGTCCTGTCAACAGTGGAAAGGCCACTCTAGGTTAGCAAAGGTAGATCTAATGCTGTTCAGGTAGTTTAAAAAAGAAAAATCCAAGATCAGAATAGTTTCAGGAAATAAAAATAAAGCTGAATTCTGGCAAAATGGTTTCTGCATTTTTACATGCTTTTGGAAAGCTGTGAGCTGCAAGATAAAATCTGAAAGTATGTTCAACTAAAAGGCCGTGACTGTATAGCTCTAAATAACTTGTTTGGAGCTTTCTTGCAGGCCTGTCCAGTTTTGTCCTACAGAAGGTAAACGAGCAGGTTGCCTCTTTGGCAGAATGTGTATGGGTTTGTCAGAGTGGTCCTGTGACTGGGGTACCAGCTGCCTGCAGAGAGTCCAGCTCCAAGCTTATGGGCAGGTCAGAACATTTGCTTTAAGTGCACGTTCTTACATGTTTGGTTCAGACAGAAACATTTTCAGGGGCTTTGAATCAGTCTCATGAAGCATAAAGCGACAATGTCTGTCCCTTGTCTCCCTTCTTACTGTAAGGAGGAGATTTGGGACTAGCTTTCAGTTATATTAGGAGGTGCTGATGATACCTTAAGGCATTTAAACTTGATCGGTTCAATCTTAAAAGAAAAAACACCAGTAGAGAAAAATCAGACTACGCTTGTTGCCATTTGTGTTCAGTAGCACCAGTCACAGCTGCAATGCACAGAGCCGCACACAAATGCTCTTTAGCACATAGACTGTCTAGTTCAACACGGAATAACAAGAAAGAGAAATGGGGAAAAGAAACAGAGGTGATGGCGATAGTCTCTGTTGTGGAGGTAGCTAGCAGCAGAGGACTACGGAAAACAGCTAGTATAAGGGCACTGGGACTGCAATTACTCATACAAGAGACCAAAGTTATCTGCCTTTCACTTGTTATACTGCACCGCTTACATTCTGACATACTGTCAGTTTCTGGAAGATCATAAAAAAAATCATTGTATGCTGTGCAATCCAAAAAAGATAATTAGCAAGAATTGTGGTGTAAACAACCATTAAAAATTCATTATAACATCTTTTTAACTGTAGTAAACATGTCTAGCAGTAGACTCTCTTATGACTTTGCTTGTTAAATTTGTTGCCACATACTAAGTGAACTCTTGAACCTGATTTTTAAAATGGTATGCTCCATATAATCGCTCAGCAAGGAGGTTAAGGTTTCTTTCCTTAGTCCTCTGAAAAGAGGTCAGTGCTGGTGAGAGTGCGCTGGATTGATGGCCATGAAAACCAAAGCTGCTGATGGCTGGAGCAGTTACAGTGTGGGCAGCAGCAGTGTGTAAGATCTATTGAAGCGATGTGCCTCGATCCTGCTGTGGAGAAGGTGGTAGCTTGTCACTTGTCTTTTTGGCCCTACAGGAGACAGGCAGAAGCTCTATGCAGCTTTGGCAGCTGTGCTTGTACACTGTCAGTACAAAGCTGCCATGTTTTTGGGGGGATTGTTTGGAATATTAAGCACCTAAAATATGTTTCTGCTTCTGTTCAGATAAAGCTTATCAAATGTATTTATTAGCAGCTTTTTAGAATAATAGGTTCTGTTTCAAGTATTAGCTATTTTCTGTCTTGATCGTATTTTCAGCAAACCATCTGACCTTGAGCAAATTATTTAACCTTTGCTTCTTGTTTCTCTATTCACAAAGTGGGGAGATAATTGCTTGACTACTTTGCTATTCTTAGTCTGGCTGTTAAATAATAGATGTTTGTTCTGCTGAAGTATGACAAGTTTTAGAACCAGTCTGCCAGTAGGTGCAAGTTACATTGCCATTGGCATAGCCTTTTTTACTTAGATTACAGTTATCTATAAATACTCAAAATGTGGAAAGAAATACTAAGATCAGTCCATGCTCTCTAAAATAGTAGTCTCGCAAAAAGCTTGCAGCAGTGCCCGTGGCCTTCAGTTCCTCTTCACCAGAACTCGAGGACAGAAATAACCTGTAATTCTGCCTTCATTGTGGAGGTATGAAATAGTTCAAATTTGAATGCTGTTTTTTCACTATGTTCATTAGAGAAGTTGTAACTCTGCTAATTGTTCCTTAGTATATTCTTCCTCTATCTTATTTAAAGCTTGGCCTGACTAAATATTTTCTTCTTTAAAACAATCCAGAAAAAGCACATTCCCTGGAGTTTTCCCATGGTAATCCCTTTTGACAACTTTAGGATGAAACTTCACTAACGTTTGTGACCTGACAGTAGATCAGCAGTCAGAGAAAACCAGATAGAGAGAACCAGTCCACCAAGGTCAAGAAACCTTAAACGATACTCTGTGATTCTGGAGCCTCGCATCCAAATCTCTAGGTTCTCTGGTTCAAGCAGGAACATGAATGAACTCCTGCTTCCTGTAACACAGATTGAGTCCTTAACCGCATTCTGTGTTGAACTGATCTTTGTCTCTTTGTGCTGCGAAAAGTTTCAGTGTCTAGTTATTGTCTCTCAGAATGGAACCAGATGTCAAAACCTGCTATTTTCATTAGAAAAAAACAAACCCCACAACATTTTGGCCTTCCTCATTGGTTTCACAGCTGTTTATTTGATCAATCAAAATGCCTATTAGAATGAAAAAGTTGCTTCTGTTCCTAAGAGATCCTTGTTCTGTGTCTTAGGCAGCAAAAGGACAGATTCATTTGGAGCAGATCTATGTGGCCACTGATAATGCAAATATAAATGGAACTCTGGTTTAATTTGTTGGCTACATATTTTGTGCATTTCTTTTTAGTGAACTATCTGTATTTGGTAACTGTCAAAACAAAAATATCAGAGATTTCTGCTCCTTTATATGTTACTGAAAGTCTTTGCTTAGCTGTGACTTGAGGTTTCTAATTCTTTGTCCTTAGTTTTTCTGTCTCAGAATATAAGATCACTCAGATATTTTGAGTACTTGATATATTTTTTGGCTAAATTGAAGCCAAGTTGTGAAAATAAGTATGAACACTGCTTGCTCCGTATCTTCACTGAATCTTCCTGTATAATGTGGCTCCAATTACAGGAGATAAATATAACGCATGAAAACCAAGAGTAACAGAGGTCGTGCTTTGTGATGGCTTTACACCTCAGTCCTGCAAGCAGTTTAGCATGCTTATGCATTTTCCTAATGCAGCTTCAAGAAATATGGTTTATAAATAGCCTTTGGAGAATTAGACAGTCTTCCTCTGATTTGATAGAATCAGTCAATCAAGTTCAGGAAACTTCAAGCAAAATTTTTACTTAGATCCTTTTAAGTAGCGGAAGAGGATTCCCCAGACATTCTACATTCTGTATAGGTTTTAAAACTACTGTAGCATAAGCTTTAATGGGCTACGCAAAGGAGAATCTGTCCAAGATGATGCCAGCATCGCAGTCTTTCTCTTGATGCTGTGACTCTTTTCCACTCTATTCACCTATTTTTTCCACACTCTTGACCTATTTGGGGGCTGGTGGTGGAGAAAATTTATAGTATATTTTGTGTTCTTGTTTCTTTTTATTCATTTCCATATGCATCCAACTTAGCACAAAGAAAAACTCAGGATGAATGAATCTTTTTCTTCTTGGTCAGTAGGCCGGCTGAAATCTTCCTCCACTTTCCCAAATTATTTTCTGATTGTGTTAAGAAATTTGAAAGTTTTGATACTTTGAACAGTTGCTGTTACAGAGTTATTACTGACTTCACCAGACCTTTAGCACTGAGAACTGGTGGATGTGAGCTGAGGTGGGAGAAGAGATTGTACTTACCGAGGTTGTAAACCAAGTTTTGAGAGTTTTGGAAATGTTTAGATAAAACAGCCTAAACAAACAAACAGACAAATTTTTAAACTAAACAAAACATGATGTTTCCTGAATCTACATGCACTGACTGTCACATTCCATCCCCTTTGCTGCCGCTTCTTCAGTTTTAAGATGACTTTCCCTAAATAGATTCCGTTTCATGTAATAAACAGGTTTATCTAATTATCACCCAGGTAAGATTACCTTTGTGAACTGCCTGTGACTCCTGGCTGCGTGTTAACTCTCCTGTTTTGCGGAGCTCCTGCCTCCCCAGGGCTTCCCTGCAGCCATAACTGGAAGCTGGAGGAGTTGTGCAGGAAGGTGCTGCCTAGGGGCAGGTGGAAGAGGAGTGAGTTTTGAGTGAAAACAGTGAGATAACATCACTGTCCAGTTGCTTCTGCTGAGGATGTGAGAAAGCCATATTCCCCAGCTGCCTCAGCTCTAGGGATGCAGTTTTGCTGATGAGACAGTGGCTGGCTCGCTTGCATCCTTTGGAAAAGGCTCTGCTAACATAATTCCAGTCAAATTTTTTCTCTACACATAAATTGTTGGGTGTTTTTGCTATTATTTTTAATTAGGGGGTTTGAAGGACGAGGCCTGTGTAGCAGAGCCTCCATGGCTCAGGCAGGGCCCTTCCATACAGCCACTTCCTTCCGCCAGGACACAGCAGAAGTTGCTTCAACTGCAGTGCGCGCTAAGACTACTTCAGTATTTTTTGGTGAAAGGTTTAATGTTTGTTCTAAAACCTTGCCCTTTATGTTACACTCTGGCACATTAGATTTGGAGGTGAGAGGTTGTCTTCTACCTCAGTGTCAGAGTCACCGGGAGTTTTTTTGTTTTGTTTTGCCTGGGATGCTTTTGCCACATGGATTAGTGCTTACCACGCAAGGTCATCTCACCCGAATTATGTCCTTCGGTGTGCTGCTTTGGCGTTTGCCGTTTGAAACAAAAAGCAAGTTCCTTGAAGAAGAGGAGGGCTAATAAACAAGTGCAAATTTTCTTGCAGTTGTTAAATTTCTATCTTTTCATAAATAAATGATTAATTTTCTGTAAATTCTTTCTTTGAAGAATGTTTATCTTTTCAATAATGGGTTTGTTAAAGGAAAACCCACCAGTCCAAATGCTGTGATTTATGCAGGAAAGGAAGAACAGAGAATTTGACAAAATGCACCCATTAAGAAATACCTCCCTGGATATTTGGTGGTCTGAGCACCACTGCTGTGTAAGCTGCTGTAGAGCCACTCAGAAGTCGGTGTCAGCAAATTTCAGGAGTTTGTCAGAGAAGAAAAAAAAAAAAAGTGGTTTGCTGCAGCTTATAAAAGCAACAAAGCCAGTGTCTGTTACCTGGCTGCTGCTGGAAGTGTTTCTCTTGGCTCTGAGAGCGTCTGTCGCATCGCTGGTGGCCCAGTTCTGTGCAGCAGTTCTGTGGTGGGATTAGCGAGCCCCACGCTCTCCCAGTGCTCTTCACTGGACAGCACATCCCACCAGTCCTCGCTGAGAGTCTGGGGTCAGGGAGGGGACCCGTGCATTGGGTGCAAAGCCAGTAGAGGGGAAGTGGGAGCTCACCTCTCCCTAGTACTGCTGTTAATTTTGTGCCAGCTGAAGCGAGGTGGATCTGGACATGACTGGGGTGGGCAGGAGCCCCGATTTGAAGTGAAGTTTAGGTTTTTAGTTTCCCCACTCTCTATTCTGCTCACTGCTGAAGTAAACAGCCAGGTCTCACTACCTGTTGGTCCCACTCTCTTATTTTCTCTTCCTTTTGGAAAAGGTTACATTGGCAGTAAGACACCAGTTAAGGAAGAAAGAATTAACTGTAATCCAAAAGCTGTATTCTGATTTAAAAAGGAATCATGGGAGTCTTTGACTATGTACTGATGATGCACCACCTCATGCATTGCTTCTCAGCATCTTCCAGAAGCAGAATCTATTTGCTCCTTGCTGCATGGCTTTAGTCCCACTGCTGATGAGCAGGCTTGTGCCCATTACCACAACTGATTTTCCTAGTATTTCTAAGTCTGTGTAGCTGGTTTCAGATGACCAAAAGCTAGTTCATATGTAGCAATCACTGTTTGCATACACCAAGTAAAACTCCCCCTTGTGTCTGATCCTCAGCTGATATCCTCTGGAGGAGGAGTCCGGCATCACCAAGATTCATGTTAAATGAATGGCTTGTCTTTGGTACCTGTTCAATAACTGATTTCCAAAGGAAACAAAAAAAATCCATGTGTATATAGATAGATTTTAAAATATCTTCATTGAAGTCTGTGATGCTTAACTATTAATATATAGTGGATCACAGGATCAGGGCTGACATCCTGTGTTGTTACAGCATAGCTGTTTTTTGATTCTGTGTTCTCAGAGGTGCTTCATGTGTGCTCTGGGAAGATAAAGTTTTCACGTTACATGTCTCGTTACAGAAGAGATCTATTACTGACATTTTTCCAGATTCTGCTTTTGTTGCATGTGAATTTTGTAATGGTGACCAGTGCTTTCTAGTATGTGATGGTGTGCAAACAAAACAGAAAATCACGTTTCTAGTCCCAGAGTACTCACCGTCACATTCTTTCACATAAGTAAATATTGTCTTGTTTATACTATTTAGGAATACACTGTCAGATGACAGGTTTTAGCTGTCAAGCTCAACTCTTACTGTTTGCTCTTTCTCTCCCTGCCCTCCACCCTTTTTTTTTTTTTTTTTACCAAAACACCTTTGTTATCTAGCAAGAAGTTGAGAAGTTTACAGACCTAGAGAAACTCTACCTCTACCTTCAGCTGCCTTCGGGTCCCAACAATGGAGACAAAAGGTATGTGTGTGAGTGTGTAAAGGTGAGCAGCTAGTACTGAAAACTTACTTTACTTCCTGTGGCACTTATCTGCTGAGGAACCATTCACGTGACATGTTTGGTAGCAGAAGCAGCCTTTATTAAACATTAAGGACTCTTCTTTTCCTGAAGATTTCTTTTTTTAAACTTTCGAATCTTTAGTGCATGAATAGCTTGTAAATATAAACCTCCTAAAATGCAAGAGTCATCAGAGAAAGTGTTTTGCAGCCTAAGTGTGATCGTTCCTTCACTTTTTATGTAGGAAGTGATAATATAGCAACACAAATGTGATGGTGGGGGAAAGAAGGAACTACTGGTATTTCTGGTAACATCTGTTTGACTAAAGGAAGGTCTAGAAAACCAGCCTGCAGATCCCAGCATCACAAAATTAGTGTATGTTCCCAAGTAGGATGGTTACAGGCAGACAGGTGCCTACAGGAAGCACTCTGAGCATCTGCTGGGAAAGTTGGGTGTTTGAGTGGGCAAAAGCTTACAGGTGGTCAGTAAGGAACAATAAATTTAAGAGGGGAAGTAGGTGAACTCTCACCCATCACTGTCTACTCATGGCTGTATCTCAGTCAAGAACTGGAGTGTGGAGTCGGTTTGTTAAATTGTAGATGAAAGAGGGCGATACCTGCTGCCCACACCTCAAGGAATAGCTAAATGTGTGAGGTACTGGCCCTTGTTTCTGGTGGCTCTCCACCTGCATAGGCAGACAATTATTAAATCTTGTAACTGAGGAGGAGCTGTGGAGCGAAGTCTTCATCGGCACTGTTTCTTCTTTCACTAGCGATCAGATCTCCATGTCATCCAGCCGTGCCCAGCAGATGCACGCCTTCTCGTGGATACGGAACACCTTGGAAGAGCACCCTGAGACATCCCTTCCCAAGCAGGAGGTTTATGATGAATACAAGTGAGTGCTCCCAAGTGGATCCATACATATGGCTTTAGTGAGCATACATAGTTCTGTGACACTGGCTTTACAGGTACTCCACTGTTGTACATGTACAAGCGCCTATAGCAGAACGAGGCCTTATGTACTAATGTACCTGAGAACGTACTAGCTACAGTGAGGCAAACTGTATTCATTATTTCCGCCACTGAAGATAAGACTGTGATGTTTAAATGGTGCATTACATATGCTGAAGGAAAGGTACAAGTATTTCTTAAGAAGTAAATATCCGTATGAATATTGTTTTTGTTTTGTGAACAGAGCAGCATAGGTAAAAAGCACCAGTTACTATCTTACAGTACGTTTTGGTCTGCTTGTATATACATATGTATATGACTGCCTTAACAAGGATGAGGGGTTGAATTGTTCCTCCTGGAAATGCAGCTATTTTGCACATAAGATCTAGCCCATCACACGCTTCTTCCCAGAATAATGCATAAATATTGGACCTTCCTGCAGAAAACCTGATTTCTACAGAGGCACAATGTATCTGAATATGTATAAAACCAGTAACCAAGGCCACTATGAGTCTGTGTTGTCAAGTGTCAAAGCTACCATGTAACAAGACAGCAATTAGAAGCAAGGGAGAGGGAGCTGTCTGACGGAAGTTGGATTTGAATTCATTTACAAAACATTCCCCAAGGGGGGGGGGGGGGGGAACATCCTCAGCCCAGTTGCCTTGCCTGAAGATGAATAACAGATTCATGATCTAGTATGAGTATTTCCATAATCTGAACGATTACAGTAATTTGCAGCGAGCTGAGTCCTTTCACCCTCTAAGTGCCTACAGGATTCAGCTCTTAGTAATTGTTACTGCAGGGTTGTCTTCTGTGAATACCTCCTTTTAATTAACTCTCTCTGGTCAAGTTTTTTACTCTGAGCTGAAACATGATGGCATTTGCTTGCCTGGGGTTGATAAACATGCACACACCTATTTCTGAAATCTCGCCATCGACTGGAGTGGTGACGCAGCCTGGAAATATAGCCAATGGCACAGACGTGCTGGGGTGTCCAATCCCTGAGCAGCAGCCGCTCGCGCAGACACAGCAACAGCGGCAGCTGCTGTGCGGGAGAAAGATGGAAGTGTTATTCTTAAATATATTTCTTATTAAATAATTTATGGCCTGCTTCAGCAACAAATCTGCTTGGCTTCCATGCTGTGCCAAGCTGCAGATGCCCGGAAAAATCATCATCTACAGATTGTGGAGTGTGAAATTTGGATGGCTTTTGTGTGTAGCTGCATCAAGTATTTGTGTATTGTATTTTTTTTTCCTAACAAAATAAGGGTGGTAAGCAAATATTCAGGAAAATATCAAATGTTTGGAATCTGTTCTTCTTTGAAAGCATCTGTTCTGTTTTTAAAACATTCAGTTTCTTTGAATATTTTCATGAGTTGTTATTGCACACCAAAGGAAGAGTAGTCTTGGAGTAGGAGGTGGGGAACAGTCATATAAATAGATAAGAGTTAGTTTTGATTAGTCATTTTTCTTTACCTAAGGGTGTTAAGACCTCTCAAAGCTCACTTCTTCCGTATTAACAAGTTACCGTTTCTCTCCTTTATGTGCAAAGACAGATGTTGCATGAGCTCACAGTGAGCAAGCTTACACACTCTGCACGTATAAATCAAAGTTACAAGACTTCAGAAGAGTGCCGCATCATACCAGCATC